GAAGCTGAAGCCCCCATGGGTGCCGATGTCCCCAAGGCTGTGGGGTCCTGTGGGTGCCTCGCTGACCCTCCCGTGTCCCCTCCCCACAGAAGGAGCACCGGCTGGAGATCACGATGCTGTCACAGGGCGTGTCCATGCTCTACTCRTTCTTCATGCCAGCGGCCAAGCTGCGCGAGCGCCACGACCAACCGTAGGGCTGGGGGGACACTGGGGGACATTGGGGAGGGGATGTGTCCCATGGGTGAGGGACAGGGTCCACGGCGGGGGACAGGACATGAGGGTTGGGGGAAGGACACGTCCGATGGGTGAGGGACAGGGTCCAGGGTGGGGGGATGTGAGATTTGGCAAGGGGGACATGTCCCAGGGCTGGGGACAGGCCATGGCTGTGTCCCCTCCCCCTCTGTGGCCCCAGCCCCTCTGAGTGCTGGGGTGCCCTGGCACTCACTATGTCCCCTCCTGTCCCCAAAGGGTGACAGATCACTGTGGTGTCCCTGTCACATCCCCTCCTGTCCCCCAAGGATGACAGAGATCACGCCAGTGTCCCTGCCATGCCCCCAGGGTGACAGAGATCACACTGGTGTCCCTGCCACTGTCCCCTCGTGTCCCCCCAGGGTGACAGGGATCACGCTGGTGTCCCTGCCACTGTCCCCTCATGTCCCCCCAGGGTGACAGAGATGACACTACTGTCCCTGCCACTGTCCCCTCATGTCCCCCCAGGATGACAGAGATCACACTGCTGTCCCTGCCATGCCCTCCAGGGTGACAGAGATCACACTGCTGTCCCTGCCACTGTTCTGTCGTGTCCCCCCAGGATGACAGAGATTGTCACAAGGGTGTCCAAGAAGAAGCTGGGCCGCCACGTCAAGGCGCTGGTGTTCGAGCTCTGCTGCAACGACGACAGCGACGCCGACATCGAGGTGCCCTACGTGCGCTACACCATCCGCTAGGGGGCGCCACGCCCCGGCCACGCCCTCTCCGCAGGCCCCGCCCCCCGCACGGGCCACGCCCCCGTCACACCCGCCCCCTCCCCCATAGTCGTTGTTGTGTCGGCCCCGCCCCCGGGTGGGGGTGGGGTCTGGGGGCGGGGCGAGGGTCCCGCCCAATAAACATAGACCTTGGCAAAGGGACCGCGTGCAGGATGGGTGTGGCCGGGGCTGGGGGCGTGGCACCGGCAYGGCCGGCACGTGACAGCGGTGACAAATGACCCTGCGGTGGCACCGAGATGGCGGCGGGTTGGGGGCACCACGGTGGCTTTATTGGGGGTGGGGACATGGGGGGACCCCCTCACCCACGTGCGGGGCTYGGCGTCACCTGCAGCGTCCTCGGTGTCACCTGTCCGCTCGTTCAGGTGCTCGGTGTCACCTGCAGCCCTTGGGGACTTGGTGTCACCCCCAGACAGGGCTCTGTGTCCCTGGTGGCAGCTGTGTCACCTGTGAAGGATCACCATAGCCTCGTGTCACCGGTGTCCCCATGGCCATGGCTCACAGTGTCACCTGTGTGTTCCCATGGCTCACAGTGTCACCCGTGTCCCCATGGCTCACAGTGTCACCTGTGTGTCCCCATGGTTCAGTGTCACCTGTGTGTTCCCATGGCTCACAGTGTCACCCGTGTCCCCATGGTTCAGTGTCACTTGTGTGTGTCCCCATGGCTCACAGTGTCACCTGTGTGTCCCCATGGTTCAGTGTCACTTGTGTGTGTCCCCATGGCTCACAGTGTCACCTGTGTGTCCCCGTGGTTCAGTGTCACCTGTGTGTGTCCCCATGGTTCAGTGTCACCTGTGCGTGTCCCCATGGCTCACAGTGTCACCTGTATGTATCCCCATGGCTCGTGGTGTCACCCATGTCCCCATGGTTCAGTGTCACTTGTGTGTGTCCCCATGGCTCACAGTGTCACCTGTGTCGCCCCGTGTCACCTGCAGACGTGTCCTCAGTGTTCTCAGCGTTCGTGTCACGCAGTCACTGCCTCCCCTGTGGTCGCTGTGTCACCCTGGCTGTCCCCTCTGGTCTCGGTGTCCCCAGGTGTCCCCGTGGGGGTCTCGCTGTCCCCGCTGTCCCCCGCCAGGCACCGTTTCTGCCGCAGAAGTTGCCGGTACCGGGTGACTGCGGCCTCCACGGTGCCCTGGAGCTCGGCCACCTCCACTGCCAGCGTCACCCCTGGGGACAGYGSGGGACAYYGGGCGGGTCAGGGCYRAGGARGTCACRAGCTTTARGCCTTCCCCAGTTTTKGGGGAGACCCCTTGWTCTTGGAGGACAGCCCAGATTTGGGGTATCCTCCCCTCAGTTTGGGGATCCCCACTCTGGGTTGGGATYCCCCAGTTCCTCCCAGTTTGCCCAGTGCTCACCCCTCTGGAAGCTGCCCTGGGCCTGCCGCAGACTGGGGGGCACCAAGACCCCAAACCAGCCCAGGGGGTCTGGGGGGGCCCGAGTGGGAGCCCCCMCTTTGTCCGGAGCTCCCCGGCGCTGCCGTAGCCCTGGGGAGAGAGAAAGGTCAGGGACACCCCAAAAAGCAACTGAGAAATCCCCCCAGCACCCACAGGAACCCTTAGAACCCCTCCATCACCCACAGCACCCCTTAGAACTGCCCCCAGCACCCCAAATTCCCCCTCTGCCTCCCAACACCCACAGCACCCCTCAAAACCCCCCCATCACCCCAAATTCCTCCCCATGCCCCCCAACAGCCCCCCAGCACCCACAGGTGACACCCCCAGACTCCCAAACCTGTCCCCAGCTCTCCCAGGGGACCTCCTGGGGACACCCAGCAGCCTCCACACCCACAGGACACCCCCAAGGGACCCCAAAACCCTCCCAGGGACCCCTCCTCACCGTCTTTCCCCCCCTGCTGTGGGTCGGGGTCCTCGGGGTCCCCCCCTGTTCCAGGCACCTCCTCAAAGTGGGGGCGTCCCTCTGGGTCCTGCCTGGGGGTGACACGGGGACACGCTGTCACCGCCATCCCTTGGTGTCCCTCTGCCACCACAGCGACATCCCAGCACCCCTTTCTCACCCTCCTGACACCACCCTGCACCTTTAAACCTCCCCCAGCCATTGGGGACATTAGTGTCACCCCTGTGTCACCTCCSCAAACTGGGGACACCCTTTGCATCCCCCCAGTCTGCTGAGTGTCCCCAATGTCCCCCCCAGTGTCCCTGTCACCCCTCGCTATGTTCCCCCCCGATGTCCCACTGTCGTCCCCAGTGTCCCCACCCCCCTCAGTGTCCCTGTACCCCGATGTCCCCCCACCTGTGGCACACACGGACTCGGGGAACCATGGTGGCCCCGTACTGCAGGGACGAGACGCGGTGACACCCCAGGGAGTACCGGGCCTGAGCCAAAGACAGCCACCCCTGCAGGGACATTGGGGACATTGGGGACATGACACAGGGACAGCCACCCCTGCAGGGACATTGGGGACATTGGGGACACGGCACAGGGACAGCCACCCCTGCAGGGACATTGGGGACATGACACAGGGACAGCCACCCCTGCAGGGATATTGGGGACATTGGGGACATTGGGGACACGGCACAGGGACAGCCACCCCTGCAGGGACATTGGGGACACGGCACAGGGACAGCCACCCCTGCAGGGACATTGGGGACATTGGGGACACGGCACAGGGACAGCCACCCCTGCAGGGACATTGGGGACACGGCACAGGGACAGCTACCCCTGAAAGGAAATGGGGACATGGGGTACACGGCACAGGGACAGCCACCCCTGCAGGGACAGGGGGGACATCAGGTACACAGCACAGGGACAGCCACCCCCAGGGAGACGCTGGGGGACACAGGACAAGGACAGCCAACCTGAGAGGGACCCAGGGGGACATGGGGTCATTGAGGGGGACAAAGGGCCAGCTAGCCCCGGGGACAGAGAGTTAGGGACAGCCACGTGCAGGGACACTGGGACACAAGTCACAGCTCTGGGGACATTAGGGCCAGGTGCGGATGGTGTGTCCTGGTGGCAGGTGACACGTCTCCCCAAATGTCCCAGAATGGGCTGGGTGTCCCCARGGACAATCCCACAGCAGGTGACTGTCCCCAGGTGTGTCCCCATGGGGTTGGCACGTCCCTGTGGTGGGTGACTCCCAGCAGGTGTGTTGCCCCTATGGCAGGTGGCACCTCCCCCTAGGTGTCTCCACGGGGGTGCTGTGTCCCCGTTGTGTCCCCACTGTGTCCCCATGTCCCCCTCGTGTCCTCCTCACCTGCCGCAAATGCTCCTCCAGCTGCTCCCGGCGCTGCTGCAGCAGCTCCAGCGCCTCCATCACCTCCAGCGCGGCCGCGTCCAGGGACAGTGACAGCGACCCTGAGGGGGACACGGCTCAGGACCAGACAGTGACACCCGAGGGAGATCCCACGAACTCCCCGACACCGCAGATCCCTCAAAACCACCGCCCCCCGCCCAGGGAACAGCCCAGTTGCCCCTGGAGACCCGTCGAAGATACCCCCGGAACACCTCCAGGATCCCGGAGACTCTCCAAAAACATCCCCGGAGAGCCCCCAAAACACCCCCGGGCTCCCGGAGATCCCCTCAAAACGCCCCGGAGCCCTTCGTCTCTCCCTCACCGTCCATCGCCGCCCGCGCCGTGGCCTCAGGCCTGGCCCCGCCTCGTCCAATAGCAGCCGGCCCCGGCGCCTCTCGGCCAATCAGCGCGCGCAGCAGACTGGGGGGCGGGGCCCTCTGAGGGCCGGCAGCGCTATGGGCTGACGCCGACCCGGCCGCCATCTTGGGTGAGGGCAC